CGAAAACAAAGTATTAGATTTATTGGATCAAGTATCAATAGATAAACTTTATATGGTTCGTATTTTTAGATTAAAATCTAAAAATGGTATTGCACCAGTAATTGTCGAGTTAAGAAATAAGGACATGAGAAATGACTTTATAAAAAAATCATATCGTAAGTTTAATGGTATTTATGTAAATCCTGATTTAACTGATGCTCAGAGAAACTTGGATAAACAACTCAGGGATAAATGTAGAGAATTAAATAAACCACTTAACCTAAAAGTCGATTGGGACCAAGTTAAAAGCTATTACGTAATTAGAAATAAACAAGTAGTGTTGATAAACAAATAGCAATTGTTGTTCAAGTCATCACAGTATAACACACATAATTTTAAACATTCTTTACATACACCTTGTCAATATATATATAACCAATTAAATAACCCTGATGCAGACACTGGAGGAAGTAATCATTTGAACTCAAGTGCTAATACACTGCTGGTAAAGAAAATGAATCAAGACCTTCAAAAAGGTTTAAAAACAGAAAATATCGATTATTTAACATGTTGGTATACAAATGCGACCTCTTTAAATAATAAATTTGACGAATTCATTGATGATATATCCAGATCTAAGGCTCAAGTTATATTTGCTTGTGAGACTTGGTGGTCAGCAATGTCTACTACTAATATTCCTGGTTATAATCTGTTTAGAAAAGATCGTCAATTTAGTCGTGGTGGTGGTGGTGTATGTATTTATATACAAGAGAATATTAAATCTTATGAAATAAATGAAAAATATCTAATAAATGAAAATATTGAGCAAGTATGGTGTTTGATTGAAATTGGCAAAGAGCAAATCTTATGTGGTTGTATGTACCGGACAGGCCTTAGTAATAGTGAAAAGTGTATTGACATTATAAAATCATTAAAACAAGCATATGTACTCAAAAAAAATAACAAATGCTCTGGTATTTTAATATGTGGTGACTTTAACTATGCAAACATCAAGTGGAACGATGAAAGTTTTAGTGAAGTTATAAATGACAGTGACACAACAGCAAGTATGTTTATTGAGTTGTTACATGACTGTTACCTGCACCAAAATGTTATCAG